CACAAAACTTAAAAGAAATGGAGTATACGGCAGTGTACAGAAGTTCAAATTAACCATGCACTACGCAGTTAGAAAATAGTTTCTTTAATATTTCAACTTCTTTGCATTTATAACATCAAGTCATCTGAACAATATGGAATCCTTTTCCCCCCTCCAATGCCACAAGCTGCTTAACAAATGAAAGCTGGTATTGTTGCATATCAAAATATACAAGACAATTGATGTTTTATTTAATATAAAAACCATTTTATACTTGTTCCCAAAAACCTTTTTTTGCCAGGTAAAAAATGTTGTTACAAATATTTACAGCATTTTCTTGTGTTAGATGAGTATTTTTACAAACTTAAAAAGGGACTTAGGAACACATGAAAAATTAGGGAATGTCTGACTCTGCAAATCATGCTCCCTTTTTTGAATACAGTACTACGCAGTCCATTAGCCCCTTGCCTTATGCCATTACATTTGGCTCACATTTTTTAAAATAGCTTCTCTCATCAAGTGGTCCATTCACCAACAGCATTCATTTAAAAAGGCCACTTTACACAGAGTCCTTCAGGAAAGATAGCTGGAGAGAAAACTGGCAAGATGTCTTAGTATATAACTAGAGCAGACAATCTTTGGTCATTGCAACGAGGTGACAATCCAGTGCAGCAATTTGCTTGGTTAGTCACCATATTTTGAGAGTCTGGGGTGAACTTTTACAGGAACTGTAAGATGAATTGGGGGGGGGGGGGAAATAAACATAAAAAAGCTGAATCCAAGTACATAGCTGGTTAGTTTTCCACTATCATCCCTAATACTGGACATAGATTCAAGAACCAAAAGTTCTGCCAAAACATGTACCCTTCGCTTAACATGGAAGGTTGTCTTGATACTAAGATCCCCACTAATGTATTGTTTCTCCATTGCATGCTATTGAGGCAACCACAGCATAAGAATTTAACTTGGATTCCTGCATGGTGCAGCATACTGAAGCTACAATGGTAGAAGGCAAAGGGATAACAAACGCAAATGAAACAGTTATAACTCATTGCACACATGGACAGTTCATGGGTCATTTGGTTTTTACTATATAAATACATATTTTCTTGAAAACAAGAGTATTGATTTGTAAAGACTGAAATAGATAGCAAAAAAAATACACATCTACTGAAGGCACATAAACTTTGGTCCCATTTGTGTTTTTTTCCTTAGTAAAAACCCTGAAATTAAGTTTTAGAAGTTTTTCAAATTCAAATAATTCCTAATTGTTACGATTTGCTCCAGAAAGAGAACAGTCTCATATACTATTCAGTTCTTTGCAAAGACAATTAGGAGTTAATTTGCTTCAAGAAAATCTCTGTGCAACTTGAACAGTTTTCAGCACAACTGTTTAAATCTGGCAGTTTTGTTCAGTTACCAGTCCACAAAAAAAGTAAAAGGCAAACAAAAATGGCTTTAATGCAGTTAACCACTCAGCTCCCTCTCCTTTGAAAACACCAATACATATTACATATAAGAGGATGAAGACTGAAAAGGAAATCTGAGGTTTCTTCATTACCAAAAGAAAGCCTATGCTATGTTTAACAGCAACAAGATTCCACTGCATACAATTTCTTAATCTGTGAAAAGGAAAAAAAAAGAGGTGCCACACAGACAACTCAAGGCTACACTTAGATATATAGGCACAGAGAGTCCTCAAGGTATCCTCCAAGCACAGTTGTAGTGCAACTGACAGGGAGACAAAAGGCAACCAAGTATGGGAAAGGCTTAACAAATGAGTATCCGTTTGAAGCTCTGCAACTTGCAACTGACATTGTTAGCTGAGTAAACAATGCAATCCAAGTTTTAATTACAGTTCTAAAATTTGCTTTTCCAATTGGTAGTAGGGCTAATAAGCAAAGACTCTAAGACACTGAAGTGTCATAACACCTGCACTCTGTGCAGACCATAAACATACACTCTTTCCTCCTTGAGCCACTTTTGAAAGGGTGGAAATGACGGATTACTTTTCCTTCTACTTTGTATCCAAAACTAGTAGCGTTTTGCTCTCAGGATGAAAGCTATTACGGCTTAGTCTTTAGTAATGAGTATCACAATAAATTGAAATAGACCATTTAGTTGAAATGTAGTTTTTAAACACAGCTCTTCCACAACTCTGATGAGCTTTTGATCTGAATTCAAAGCTATTTTGGCTCTGGTCTGTTACTGTAATTTGGAGTACACTGTATCACTTTAATAAAACAAAATTCCTTTTTACAATTAATCATATTTTATTAAACCTTGGGTTGCTATTTGAGATACTGTTTCCTTCCTCCAGTATACTAAAAGGCACTGTTGCCAAATCTTTGTATCCAAATTGTTAAAAGCTTGTTAATTGGTTATGGACCTGAAAGTATTTTATCAGCTGTAGAGTTAGTGATTCAAATATCTGACAGGAAGGAGATTGAGAACTGAACAGCTTTCACTTCCAAAGCATTTGCAAGGGTCTCACAGTGTTAATCTCAATAGCTTTGAGAATAAATGGTGAGAGAACAGAGAAGAGACTCAGCTGATAAAATGCTAGCAAAGATCATGTACTCTGGAAAATTGGTCATTCTATACTAGGGTACTTGATAAGGAGACCTTTGCACAGACAGCTGCTATCCAATAACCACATCCACTGAAGCACCTTAATTCTGTGGAGCACTCATTGCAAGCTCAACAGGCGAGGAGGGATCTAATGCTAAAATTCTGCAGTGAAGGAACAAAAAAAGAAAACAGAAAAACAAGTATTGCCCAAGCCTCAATTAAAGGAGTTGCCTTTGAAAGCATGAAGTTAGGGTGTCTTATTTTTTAAGAAGGGAGAGTAAATCCAACTTGCTGTAAATGGAACCATTTTAAAATGCAAACAAACTGTACTGCCATTGCTCACATATGCAACTCATGAAAAACAGCCTTCTGAAAATAAGCCAACCACAAAGTGTTGAGAACACATGCACTACAACAAAGATGATAATATAATTAGGACAAGACCACACATAGATGGGCATCTACCATCCAAATTTCTGTTAAACTGTTTTAAAGGTGCCAGCATATAAAAATGTACGCTCTACAACACAAACTGCAATTAGTCTAGAAATGACATTTTCTAGGGACAGAATGAAGCTATTCCTCACGTTGACCGTTTTTCTCCCTTAACACTACAAAGTTGCTTTCTTTTAGATTAGTTAAGTCAATAAATTAAATGCTTGCCATGTGTATCTGCATACACATATTTCTCACTGCACACACACATACACACACAAACACACCACCCTCACCCTTGATATTATACACTGCTAATGCTCAGTCTCAAAACTTCAGGTTGTTTTTTTTTTGCCTGCTTCACAGTTACATTCAACTCCAATAATGTCCCCCCTTTGTAGCAGCATTAAACACATCATGGTGACCAAACATAAGGTGACTGTAATTACGGTGAGGCAGCATAGTCATTACAGCCCTACTCCAATAAGCTAGTTAACTCGTGCCTAACTAGGTTGCCATCCTGAACATGCTTACTTAGAGCTGTGTTCCACTGACATCAGCAGAACAAAACGATCAAGTGCCATACTGGAGTCAGGCACCAGTTTAACCACATTGCTGAACTGAGGGAAGATCTTGATACCCTTTGCTAATTCGTATACCTTTGTTTTCAAATGGCTGTGAAGTCATGGTGAACGTAGGGTCAGTCATTAGTGGACACCGAAATTTCTCGGTGTAAAGCAATGTTTCTGCTGACAAGTAAAAATGCACATATTTCAGTCAAGTGTCCAAAGGTTTCCCATCATAATCAGTTGAACACCTCCACACTAATATAGCTATATAATTTAAGGCAGCAGTCAAAGCTCACTGCCTATCCGTTCATCTGACAGTGATGTTACCAAGAAGCTAGCATTTCCAGGACATTTACCAAGGTCCCAAATTAAAAATTAGCAAAAAAATCTAATGCGATAGACTTCTGCTGAACCACATCCGCAGAAGAACATTTTGACTTGCTAAAAATCCCCAAGATGAGTAAGCATTACCAGCCACTACACTCCATTTCATTTCCTTTTTTAAAAAACTCTTGTGTCCAACTCCAAAACTATTTAAGGATCACCCTTAAACTTGAGGATACCTTACAAACAATGAAGAATTTCAGTAGACATAACATCTTGAGACACCTCTAAAAACATTGTATTACAATCATAGAAATAACTTGTATATACCTATTTTTCACAAAAAAATAAGAATTGCATCTCATCTTGCTCTCCACGCAGGAGTGAACATTCAGTACTGAAGTCATGATGTTTATGAAGGAAAGCAAGTCCACATTTAGTACAGCAAGCCCAGTTCTGTTGGGTGAAAAGGAATCCTGAGACAAAAATATTCTCAAAGAGCCAATGGCTCAACAGGTTAGATACCATCCAGAAACTGGAGAACATTCTTTAGAGCCCAACAGTGATGTCATTCAGCTGCAACCCCCAACATATTGTGAAGAGGCCTACAGGATGTGCACTGAACTGCCTTCAGTGTCACCTCCCCATCCCTGTACCAAAGCACCAAAAATCTGATTTGACTATTACTTATTAAAAACATTTTTAAAATCACCAAACTTTTAAAAACTAAGACAAAGAAAAAACTTTCACCAAGCCACAATACAGTTTAAGATACTTCAGATAAAACTCTAAACTATTGTATCATTATAAGCACATAATAAGGCACATAAGAAATTAAGTAAATACACAGTAATTCTGATTTAAGTATTAGAGATTATAGTGGTACAAAAAACCCTTGAGGTTTAGATTTGTATTTTTAAACAAGACCTTACCAAAAATAACCTTTCTAAAAATTTGTCAAACCATATGACAGACCTGAATTTTTTTTTTCCTTAAGAGTGTAAACATTTTTTTCTCTCTGAAAGAATGCAAAATTTTTAAAATCAGGACAAATTTCATTTTCTCCAAAAATCTTGTTACACATCATTTCATAGTAATAAAAACTAAACTTCATGTCATGTTTTCACCTAGTTAAAAATATCCCTGCGAGCACATTAAGACAATTTACTGGTGTCTATTCTTATTATTTCAATTTTTTTTTATTCCAAGGAGAAAGAAGGCCCTGCCTCTCCCTCCAAATTTTAACAGGTGCTAATTAAAATGTTAGTCCATCAAAAAAAGTCCACAAAGGGTAAAAATGATCGCACCTTATTAGTATTGTAAAGCTATCTGCTAAGTTTATTTTGAAGACATTCTTTTGATAGGGTAATTTAGCCCAGAAATGTTGTGTACAGTCATTTTGGAATAAACTAAAACATTTTGTTCCTGAAAGCATTTGAAAAAGGGGCTTCTACTGAAAATATTTTGTTATTAAATAGTAGAGAAGAAAATATCATGGAGAATCATTAGCCTTTTGAACAGCAATAGATATGGAAAGATCATCCCTTGATTAATTAATGTGTACAGAAATACACATGAATTTATCACAAGTTTCATAGTTGAAGGATGCAGCGTTTGTCTTGGCTACTCCAGTCTCTGTCTGAAGATTTTACTCTTAACTGTGGGTAGAGTTCTTAAAAAGAAAATGTCCAACTAATATCAGATTGTAGATTTGGAGAATGAAACTCTGAGGTGATGGTTTTCTCCAAGATTGTGATTATGAAGCTCAATAAGAGCCTGGATTGCTTCCTCCACCGAACCCAACTGGATGAGGGCCATTTTGCGGTCTTTTCTGAAAGTGAAAAGAAATCAGTTAAACCCAACTCCATCTTAACAGAAACATCTCAAAAAATTTATTAAAGCCAGTGTGGTTTAGTAGCTAAACATGCCAGACTAGAATCTGGGAGAAGCAGGTTCAAATCCACATTCTGCCATAAAGCTTACTGGGTGACCTTGGGTCAATCATTATCTTAGCCTAATCTACCACACACACATGGTTGTTTGTGATGATAAATGGACAAAATAACCTTGAGGGAAGGGTGGGATTAAAATTCACTAAAAATAAATCATAATGACTGGGTATTTAGCAAAAGGAAATGACAACTGCCAAACAGAAAGACTGGCATGAGAATCCTACATGGCATCTCATGTTGGTCCTTGATTGAGAGACAGAGAAAGAAAGGCAACAGGAAGCTCAATTGAAACTAGAAGATCTTTAAATCTTTCTCTAAAGGAGGATGACAAATTAAAGAAATAGCATGCATCTTCCTTCCATCTCAGACTACCAAAGTTATGATTACTACATGATATTCTGTTAGATCAACAGTTCTATCTATAGCTTCCCAGCTTGGTTTATACTGTTGCAAGGGGAAGGGCAAGTTTACTCCACACAAGTCTGGGTTAACTATGCTTCGTCTCTGCATATTTCATTAGTAATTTGATTCCACACCATTCCTCATTTGCTGTCTTTAATCATAAGGTCTGGGAGTATTTTACACACTTTTCAAAGTTACTACAGAAACTTACGGAAAGAATTTGAAGTTTTTCACATTACATCCAGTATTACCAAAAAGACTCTTCAGATCCTCAACTGTTATAGAAGGTCTGTAAACAGAATTGATTTACTTAAAATAATTGTAGCATGCAATCTCAATCCATGTACTCTGGAGACACCAGTAATCATAATATAACAAAGCACTGATACAGAAGTGAACAAAAGCAGGCATAAAACAATTAGCTAACAGTATTAACATTTAATATAAACCAGTATCAAAAGCCAAACAGTTTATAAATGGGAAAGATTCAAAAATTATGAAACTGGAAATCAGATTGTAGCATAAAAATGTTACAGGAGCAGTCAAAAACCTAACAGAATAAGCCCCTTGTAATCACCCACTTCGCCTTAGTTTTGGTGGGACACAGATCCGGGTCTTCAATGGTTGTCTCAACAACAGATAGTTCTTCAGGTGCACTGGGATGAGGCCATTTAGAGCTTTAAATGCTAGAGCATTCTGAATGAAGTGGGCCCAGAGGCACACTGGCAGGCAGGATTACTTTTTCAATACTCAAGCAATTATGTTCATATGGTCTGAAGGCACACGGCAACAATTGCTGGAGCTCAGCAGCTCTGGATCTGGTTATTGCCTCAGTGGGAGACCTGGTAACCCTGTGCACACTGCCTCGAGCTCCATACCGGCTGTGCCATTGCTTTCTGTATTAATTGCAGCTCACAAGCACTCTTCCAAGGCAGTTGCACATACAGCACTAATCTGGCAGTGATATGACCATGGATAATTACAGCCAGATCAATTTTCCCCAGGATTTTTTTAAAGGCAAACAATTTCCCACTACCTAATAATTTTCAGAAATTTTACATCTATAAACCACAGAGAGATCCAGAAACAATAACAAGGATACACTCCCATCACTCTCCCAGCAAAGGTCATCCAGTAGGGTATCCAAGGTAGATTCAGTCTTGCATTCAAATCAGAAGCCAGATTAAAATGGTTCTAGATAGTTTGCCCAACAAGGAGCAAAGGAGGCACAGAACAGCTTTATTAGTTACCTATTTATTTCCAGGCTTAACTCAAGATACTGGCTTGGACCCAGAGCAGCATTATCATGGACTTTCTCACCTCCTTCATACTGCAGCAACCCAAATGCGCCCCCCCTTGTATGTCAGGGAGTATTTGGGAGTACAGCAGGAGGGGGAGGTAAGAAAAGTCTTATCCATGGGCAGACAACCTTGCGCCCATGGAAATTCTGCTTTGGATCCAAGCCACTGAGAGATGGAAGCAATCTTATCTGCGAACTGCTTCATAAAGCGTCACTGCTACCTAGTGAATATTCCAAATCTGTGTTATTGGGGCAAGAAGAGTGCAATTCTTCATAACACCTCAGATAATCAGATTTACACAGCTGCAAAGGTAGTGCTGGCCAAGTGAAGCTATGACACTGCCACACAGAGCAGGCATGAAGATGTACTAACTGATGTGTTCCCGTATCCATCTGAGCTTCACTTCTGAACAATTCTACACTCCTTTGTTATTGGGTGATACACTATGGTTGCTCCCTTATCCTGTCAATTGTGCTGATGCTCCACTGAGCAACTTAGACAATGGAAAAATACTGTAGTTTGTTTTAAGCTGGAAACTATCATTTTGATTACATTGTCGTGTTTCTTTGCAAGCCACTTTTGAGTCTCCAGTGGGGGGGAAAAGCATGGCAGAAATGCTTACATAATAACTTAATATACTATACCACTGCTGAAAAGCAAGTTTTCAGATGACTTACTGTAGAATCTAGCACATTTGATGTCTAACCCTCATGAAAATAGGTGAGACACTCCCTTTTGAAATCAGTGCAATGTATACACTTGGAACTATGCAGCCTTCAACTACAGACAGCAGGTCTAAAAACCAAGCCATGTACATTGTCTTCTGAGAGCAGTTTGCTCATTTCACAATGCAAGCAGGTTTCAAAGCAGGAATTTTATTTCCAAGCCAAGCACCCTGGATCAGGCCTAAGATCTACAAATCAGTTCTGTCTACTACATACCTCTCGAAGTAGGATACTTACGGAATGTTGGAGAGGTGCAGAGTGGCAGATGGTGGGAAGATATTCTGGAAGTTCTTTGAGCCTGGTTTCTTAAAGCGATGCAAAGGGCTATTGCTATAGTCCTTAGTCAGGCCTTGGTCCTCTTGTCCCTCACGAGGGAGCTGTACTGTCTGATGCTTTGAGAGTGTAACACGGAGCACCTTTCCATAAAGCTTTTGTCCATTTAAATGATTCATGGCTAAAATTTCCAAGGAAGGAAGTTAAGATCTTGAGAGAGAGAAAATGGAACAGCTACTCTGATTTTGACCTCTAAAGAGTTTTTTGCAGTTATTAGTTATTGATAGAATTTGATATACAATTCGACTTACCATAATTCTCAACTATATTTTTTTCATATTCTAAAAGCTAGAATTTCAAATTTTCAGACAATTTGCTTTGAAAAGTATAATGTTACTACACCCTCATTTTTGGGCAGAACAAGTTTTCTTCTTACATCCTTCAAGGAGTTTTAGAGAAGCAGCAAACATTTTGGTACCAATAAATATCAGCCCCTTTTAACCAATATATTATTGCTGTCTGTTACTGACACAAAAACAAGGGTCTCTACTTTAAAAGCAACAGACTCTCCATTTTTAAAAAACAAAATACACATCCTATTTTAAAGTTATATTGTAGGGGGAAAATTAATGAAACAAAAGACCTTGGAATACTTAAAAACCTGGGAGTTTGTAGGGCCTTTAAAAAACAACATAACTACATTAACTAGAGCATGTTAAAAACTACATTTAACATAAAATGGGAATGAACACAGTAGCACAACAGTCAAGCCTTTTACTTTCTGTTCATACCGAGCTGGGATTGTGTTGCATCTGCCATCTGAACCAAGGCATTTTCCTTCTTATTAAACATGATTTTCACACGATGGACATCACCATAAACACCTGCCAAAGTGAAAAGAATGTTAAGGTGCTTTCAATTCCCAAAGCATCAGTTGTAATATACTGCTGTATCATGAGTTATCTTTAAGTGAATATGTTTATAATTATGAAGCTGGAATGTTTAGAAATGATGCTTGAAGTTCCATAGATTTTGAAGCATATACCTTGTATATAAACACAAAGACTGAGTTTTATTTTATCCTTAACTCAGTAAATACTGAATTGCAGCCTGGAGAAATAAATTAACCATGACACAGTGACCACTGGAAATCAGGGCTGCCACCACCACACCCTGGTTAGGGCTAGGGATGTGCATTTCGGGATCCCGAACCGAAAAAAAGCCGAAAATAACGATTTTCGGCTTTTTTCGGCTTTTGGGATCCCGAATTAGCAATTTATGAGCTTGTCCGAATCCCGAAAAAAATTCCCGAAAAATTCGGGTCCATTATAACCAATGGGGCCATTGAAGTCAATGGCAAAAATCCTCTTGGAACTTTGCGGGGGGCTGGGGGGGAGGGGGTTTGGGGTAGAGGCTCCAAACTTGGAGCGTGCTTACTGGAACCTCTCCCCAACATACCCACCAAGTTTCAAGACGATTGGACCAGGGGGTACAATTTTATGGGCCCCCAAACAGGTTGCCCCCAGATCAGCTTGCTGCAGTTTATTCGCGGTTTGCCGCCGAAATTCGGCGGCAATTCGGCAACATTGTATCCTATGGACCTTGGAGTGGGTAAGCTCCAAACTTGGAGGGTGGTTACTAGAACCTCTCCCCTACATACCCACCAAGTTTCATGAAGATTGGACCAGGGGGTCCAATTCTATGGGCCCCCAAACAGGTTGCCCCCATCCCATTGTTCTCTATGGTGGGAAAAAAATTACGTTTTTCCCCACCATAGAGATCAATGGAGGGATGGGGGCAAACTGTTTCGGACAGCATGTTTGCAAACTTTTGCCAGACCAGCCAGCCCCAGCCACACTGCAGCAGAGAAGAACCATACAAGTGCCCCCCCACAACCTGTGCCGCCAAACTGGGTGCCCAAAACCCCAAAACCAACACAACTTGGCTCAAACCAAAGAATCTCTCTACAGCAGCAGCACTGAGGTAGCATGTCTGTGCATTACCAATGCCAGACAGACAGGCCCAGCAGCAGGACCAGAGCAATCTGCCCCCCCCACAACCTGTGCCAAGGTGCAACCAATCAGTGCCCAGACCAACTTGGTGCAAACCAGAGAATTTCTGCAGACAGCAGCAGCAGCCCACAGACTGAGGGAGCAAGCAAGTGCATGCCAGCCAGGCCCCAGCATTGCAACAGAAGAACAAGAGCAATCTGCCACCTGTGCCAGGCCAGCCAGGTTGCCATGCCAGTCAGTGCCCCAAAACCAGAACTAGGTCAAACCAGAGAATCTCTCCAGACTGCACTGGAGCGGCAGCACACAGGCTGAGGGAGCATGTATGTGCATCGCCAATGCCAATGCCAGCCAGCCAGGCCCAGCAGCAGAACCAGTCCACCACAAGTGTGCCAATGTGCCAGTGCCCAAAAAACCCCAAAAGCAAAACAATCTCTCCCCTCTGCAGTGGCAGCGGCCTACATAGGGGAGCATGTTTGCTAATGGCAGCCATGCCCAGCTGCAGAACCAGAGCAATCTCAACTTCCCCCCAACAACCTCTGTGCCAGTCACCCAACTTACTGGACTCAGTCCAAACCTGAGGATTTCTGCAGTATAAATGAAGGGGGGGGCAGGCAGGGCCTGTGCAAGTGACGTGAGCAATCACTAGGGGTGTGCGTGCGAATCCCCACTCAGCGCACCTGAAGAGAGGCAAAGGGAGGCCAGAGGAACCCAGATGCCCCCAAATTAGAGTGGCTGCCAACTCTCCAGGTGGTGCCCAAAGATTGAGATAGGATGATTCCCAGGTTGGGGAATCATCCAGAGGGGTCCCACGTATGCTACCTCTAGGAAGGTGGCAGCAAGGAAGTAAGATAGCTCCACCCCCACCGGGCAGGGGCAGGCAGGCAAAAACATCCCGAGCCACACAGCGGCTGGCTTGTGGGTCTCCCCGCCCCGTTCCCAGCAATGCAGGAGGTTTTGGGCAAATTGTTGAGAGTGGGGGGTTGGTCAATGGTAACAATCCTTTTTTAGCCTGTGGCCAGTGGCCACCTTTGGATTTCCAAAGCGGAGCGGACTAGTAGTCATCTCTCCTTACAGTCTCTCCTGGCCATGGAGCAGGCGGGCTGGGTGTGGTTGGGGGAGGGGCGTGCAGTGCACAGGTTCTGCTGCTGTCCCCTGCCCTGAACAGGGGACCAAGCCCGACTCCCAAGTTCCCAACTCCTTTTCAGCCTCTCGGCAGCCCACCTTTGGATTTCCAAAGCAGGCTAGGCAAATAGCGCTTCTGGTCATGGAGGAGGGGCCTCTGGGCCTCTGGGGTTGTAAGGGAGACGTCTCTGTGTGAATCTCCTGCATTGCTGGGCACAGAGGTTGATGGGGGGAAGTTGAGATTGCTCTGGTTCTGCAGCTGGGCATGGCTGCGATTAGCAAACATGCTCCCCTATGTAGGCCGCTGCCACTGCAGAGGGGAGAGATTGTTTTGCTTTTGGGGTTTTTTGGGCACTGGCACATTGGCACACTTGTGGTGGACTGGTTCTGCTGCTGGGCCTGGCTGGCTGGCATTGGCATTGGCGATGCACATACATGCTCCCTCAGCCTGTGTGCTGCCGCTCCAGTGCAGTCTGGAGAGATTCTCTGGTTTGACCTAGTTCTGGTTTTGGGGCACTGACTGGCATGGCAACCTGGCTGGCCTGGCACAGGTGGCAGATTGCTCTGGTTCTTCTGCTGCTGGGCCTGGCTGGCTGGCATGCACTTGCTCCCTCAGTCTGTAGTGGCTGCTGCTGCTGTCTGGAGAGATTCTCTGGTTTGACCTAGTTCTGGTTTTGGGGCACTGACTGGCAATTGGCAACCTGGCTGGCCTGGCACAGGTGGCAGATTGCTCTGGTTCTTCTGCTGCTGGGGCCTGGCTGGCATGCACTTGCTCCCTGTAGTGGGCTAGTGGCTGCTGCTGCTGTCTTGAAAGATTCTCTGGTTTGACCTAGTTCTGGTTTTGGGGCACTGACTGGCAATTGGCAACCTGGCTGGCCTGGCACAGGTGGCAGATTGCTCTGGTTGTTTCTTCTGCTGGGCCTGTCTGGCACAATGCACATGCTAGTGCTGCTGCTACTGTAGAGAGATTCTTTGGTTTGAGCTAAGTTGTAGTTTTGGGGTTTTGGGCACCCAGTTTGGTAGCGCAGGTGGGGGGGCACTTGTATGGTTCTGCTGCAGTGTGGCTGGCTGGTCTGGCAATGTACAGTTTGAAATTGCAACACGCAGCACACTCCCCCAAACAGTTTGCCCCCATCCCTCCATTGTTCTCTATGGTGGGAAAAAAATTACATTTTTTCCCACCATAGAGAACAATGGGATGGGGGCAACCTGTTTGGGGGCCCATAGAATTGGACCCCCTGGTCCAATCTTCATGAAACTTGGAGGGTGTGTTGGGGAGAGGTTCTAGTAACCACCCTCCAAGTTTGGAGCCTCCAACTCCAAGGGCCATATGATACAATGTTGCTGAATTGCCGCCGAATTTCGGCGGCAAACCGGGAATAAACTGCAGAAGGCTGATCTGGGGGCAACCTGTTTGGGGGGCCATAAAATTGTACCCCCTTGTCCAATCGCCTTGAAACTTGGTGGGCATGTTGGGAAGAGGTTCCAGTGAGCACCCTCCAAGTTTGGAGCCTCTACCCCAAACCCCCTCCCCCCCAGCCAGGGGAGGTAGCACCTGCCCTGTCTGAGGCATTCAACACCTGGGGAAGGACCAAGGATCCCTAGGAAGGCAGCACCCAGCCTGCCAAAGGCCTGTGGGGCTCAGGGGCACGACCCAAAGCCTGCAAAGAGGATAGAGTTGCCAGCTCCAGACAGAAAAATTCCTAGATATTTGGGGGTGGAGCTAGAGTTGCCATCCCCCCCTAGTGGGGCCAGGGGATCTCCTGATTTCAGGGGGCCCAATCCACCACTGGCCAACTGGCCAACAGGGGAAGCCCCACCCACCCCAAACAGCAGCGTCCCACAGGGATGCAGTAGTGACATCATCATGCTGGGTTGTGTGTCGATGCTCTAGCATTCGGGGGGGACTCCATGGTTACCTTAGAGTTTTTGCCCCGAACGCTAGAGCGAGGAGCCGGGAGCTCCCTGCCACGGGAAAGGTAAGATCTGGCAACCCTACTGGAAATACATGAAATTTGCATTTCTGTTTCAGCTATGAACATGTCTGGAAATGGTAACAGTAAGAATCTTTAACATGTGTGGATGATCATCCTGCAGGTTACACATAACCAACTACAACTTAGCTAGTGAAGCAGGTTGTTCTAAGGCTTCCTATATCAAATTCTGCAAAAGTTAATTGTAAAAGACTCCACTGGAAGAATAACAGTTTTTAAAAAATATAGTACAAACCTATGTAATAAAAAAGTACTGTCAGGTTTTTTTTATTTTGTAAAAAACCCAACTTACCAAATAAGATAAAGAGTCCATCTGGTGTGATTGCCTGCATTAGATAAGGCAAGATTACAAGTCTAAATAAACATTTATTGTTTTTTCACATTATTTATAGTTCACCTTTCTGAGACTAAAGGCAGATAAAAGTGACAAGATTATTACAAGCCATAACAAAGTAAGAAACATTAACATTATGGTTACCAAGAAGCCTTAAGAGTATGTAGAATATTTACTGATATATTAGAACAAATTAATCTTTTTCTGTTTGAAGTCATGTTTGCTTAATTATCTAAATCACTGACAGACAGTGATGTCAGGTATTTTTTCATTGATAATACTATTATATTCAAATTCTAATTTACACTTTGATAGAGTGCAGACTAAGCTGTAATCTACAATGGTGTTATGATTAACGCTTATATATATATTAGCCTTACATCAGGATTCAGATTGCTAACAAGCAAGACAGAATTTCCAGGAATTCCAGTAATTCCTGGGATGGCCATCCGACCAGTCATGGCAGAGGTGGTGATTGCAAGAGGACCAAGTGCACTGGCAACAGCTGGGACCGACAGACCTGAGAGTCAAAAGAATTCCAAAAAAGCATTGTAGAAGATTCACTTGCTGCTCATTTTTGATACTGTTTAAGTAAATTAACTTAAGTACCAGTACACCACGTAATAACACACTGCATAAAAGAAAAGCTTCTACAGATTTTTTTCATTATCTGCTCCATTTACTACCATATTAATATCTGCAACTCACTTTGATGACACAATTAAAATATCATCTCCATAATATTCTTGTAACAATCCTGTTATTGATGGGTTTATTTATTTTTATATACCAAGTTAGGTAAGGGTTTGGTTTTAAAACCATGTATGCTAGTAGTTTCTATATACAAATAAGCTAATCCTATTCATCTTAATATTGCAGAAACATTTCCAAGGCCCAAGAGAGAATAGGCTTGCCAAGTCTCCCTGGGGGGCAGGGAAACCCTCGCCCCAGAGGCCCGTTCCCCGCCGCCGGCGGATCGAGCCCCGGGGGGAACCCCACCCCGACATGCACGTCACCCAGAAGTGACGTGACCACGCCGGGCATGCTGGGGGCGGGGCCACGGTCATCCGAGGGAAAACTCTATGGTTTTCGCTCGGATGGTCGTGGCCCCACCCCAGCATGCCCGGCGTCGTCATGTCACTTCCGGGTGATGTGCGTGCGACGCGAGCGCACTACAGCTGCCAGCCGGGAGTCCCCCGCCACGGCAAGAAAACGACTTGGCAACCCTAAGAGAGAATGATATCTAAAGGCCCAAATGAGTATTTAGGTGCTGAACTAGAATCAAGGATGGTGTCGAATGTTATATAAAGCACAGATTATGAACAAGCCCCCACCCCCCTGTACAAGAGGGCAGGTAAAAAGGTGCCAAAATTTCTCTCTACTCTTTTGTTCAAATATGTGTATTTTTCTACTTTGTAATGAACACCAACAGCAGCACAAAATGAAACATATTAAAAAGGACTTGCCTGCAGCTTGGGGGAAGCCAATGGCAGGAGCAAAGCCAGCAGCCCCTGCATACGGTGAGGAGATGATGCCTGGAGTGCCTAAAATGAACAACAGATACTGCAAAATATTGTACACACAGCACACAAAGGACTTGAGAGGGGGCTAGCTTGACATTTAGGGGGTTAGATCCTCTCATTCAGTTCCTCTGGTCCATTTAGTTCACATGTACTAGTAACGACTAACCTTACTTCTAAGACCTATAGGCAATCACAGGATCAAATAGATTTATAATCTGCATAATTTTGTTCAATTTAAAAATACAGATTTCACTCAAGCACACACACAAGGCTTGCTAGTATTTAATGTCAAAACCATAGTTCGCTGTTATATAAGCGAGCCTTGGGCTCAAAGGTTTCTTCCCTGTACTCTGATTTTGCCTACCATACTTAAGAACATAAGAGCCCTGCTGGAACAGACCAGTGCTCCATCTAGTTAAGAGATGCGAAGGCCTGTTAAAAAAAATGGAGAAAAATGAGGGGGGAGTTTTCATCCACTCTTTCTGTGGCCTCCCCCCCCCCATTTTTTTCCAATGGAAATTTTGGCAAGTACTAAAAAACTCCTATGAAATATTTTCTCTTTTAGAATGAGGAAACACTTTTAAAGACAAGGTGGACATGCTGTAGAGACATACCGCTTTTAAATCCAAGAAGCATTTTCTGCACCTAGAAGAATATCTAACCTTCCTGAGGGGGAGCATATAGCGCTTTCATTGTTTCTCAACAGTCGCATGCCTTCTGTTGCCCTTTTGACCAGACATGGCTGATTTTTTCACATCTTCCTCAAACCACTGTAACACATTTACCATAGATGGGGTAAAGAGCATCTTGTTGTCCTACCTTGCGGGAGGGATTATAATGAGACAGGGCAGAAACCGCGCCAAAGCCTCAGAGCAAAATTGAAGGTTTCATTAAGGACTTGGCATTCTCTAACCAAATAGCAAAAATAAGGTACATGTGCTAAGACAGCATAGGGTGGCATCAGCCTGCAGTTTTCTCTGAAGTATCTGGTACATATGCAACTTTGCTTGTACAAAACCAAGGGATTTATAATTTGTTCCATAAATATATCAAATACTGCAATTTTATATGCTAAATTATAAATTATGCATTTTATGTTGTTAAAACAATAACATCAGTTTAGGTTTGATGGGACTGTAAATACGGTATATATTTCAATTTTCCCTAAACTTTCCATTTCCCCCCGGGCTTCAACATTTCTGGAAATTTTATATCTTTACATCTAGTCTGGCATCTTATTTTGCACAGTGGCCAACAACAGGGTATAAAAGCCTTCCCCTAATGTTGTCTCCTGGCACTAGTATTCAGAGCTTTATTTCCTCCTTCACAGCAACCCAAAGTGTGATTTCATGTGAATGTGCAATTCAGTATTTGGTATTAGAGGAACGATTCCATTCTATCTTGTAGTACACTAACATATGAAAATGCAAATGTGGAAACCAGTCACGCATGCAAGACCCTGGGGTGACACCTGGCAAAAAACAGCTACTGCCAATTCCCCCATCCCACAGCCAACCTCCCCTTCACTCCCAATATGGCTCCCAGGAGCCTCTTAACAGTAAGAGAATGACTGGGCTCTGCTCATGGCTAGACAGAGCCTCAGTCTTGCTTCATTAATTGTGTGGTACTTCAAGCATCTGCATTAGCAGCACCAGTCCACCTGCTATCAGTTCTTTGGATGCAACCCTTTTGAAAACAAAGTCAACTTTTAAAATGAAAACAGCATACACAAAATGGAAGACAAAATATTAATATGCTGATGCATAGAAACGGCCTGAAGACAGAAACCGGTTTATCTGCATTTGCAGAAGTACAAGTTTGCACTCTAATGGTGATATTGTGATCCTTCCAAAAATTAGCAACAAATTAGCCCACTAGCAATTAAAGCATGTCCTTCCATCTGAATGTGTTCTTATCTTTAATCTCAATATAGCAGCTTTACAAATACAAATGTAAAATAGGTTGATTTTTTGTAGTAATGCATTCATTAGTACCTTATGTGATTGATAATTGACAATATATGTTCTAATCGTTTATTCACAGTTCCAGTTTCCACTATAAGTCATTATACAAGCAGACAGTAACAAAAAGCTTATTCAGCCAGACAGGACCTGCATGAATACTGATACCAAATACAGACATACAATACTGCTGTGTTTGCCTAGAAGAGTAACAGTCTGAGCATGCAACAGTCAAAAGTCCTTTCATATGTATCATGAAGAATTCTAGTAATTAGCCTATATTAAGCAGGGTGCAACTTGTAGACTCAAAGCAGAAACAGTTTACACAAATTAAACAATGCATCTATCCCCAATCAGGAACAGCCAGTCATTCTTTAAGATTGGTGGTGGATTATTACTGAATGCAGCAGTTTAAGTTCATTCATTAAAAAGCCCACCTTAGGACACCACAAACTGGTTGAGGATAGTTAATCTTTCGGCAATCATCTTCTGCAAGCAAGGGCACATAAACCTCACACCAATATTTTACTGATGTTTTCAGTGCAAAAAAAAATAATAGCAAAAGTTCAATGCCAGAAGATGAAAACAATTTGTATAACAGAGAAATCAATTTTCCCACCCTTCTCTCAGAGAGCTCAGTGCTGTTTACATGGCTTGCCCTGATTTTACCCAACCACCCTATGAGGTAGGTTAGGCAGAGAGTGACTAGCCAGCCCAATGCCCTTCATGGCAGATTGGGATTTCTTACCAAAAGCAGCAGCCATAGTGGGGTCAATGGAAGGCTGCCCATCACCTGAAGGAAGGTCCAGACGAGTAAAATCTCTGCTTTTGTCATTGTTGTACTTTACATTAAGGCTTGTGAGCTTGGAAAAGTCAATACGAAGAGTGCAGCAAGCATTGTAAATATTTTGACCATCAAGAGCCTACGAAAGCAAAGTAAAAATAGTAATGTTTAATCAGGTTTCTTGACCTAGTGATAGACATCAATCAGCACTCAGAGACCTGAAGACAGCAGAAGGGACAGGCAGAAGAACAAGTCAATGTATCCTTTTTCATTCCCCATATTCAGCTATGTCCTAGGCACAAGGAAGTGTGAGAGAGTATATATTACCATCATGTTCCTTGAGGTCTGGAGCCTTATATAGTCAAATTAATTAAAAACAGTATTTATTTTGTGCTTGTGATATGCTATTAGAGCTTTTCCAATCAGAGCACTTAATTTTGGCTATCAACTATACATAATAAGGTTAAACAGGAATTTTTATTTAATCCAAGTGGCAAAAGAAGACTCTTCTGCAATTCATTAGCATTTCACAAAATATATTTGTAACTCTGTCCAACAGCTCCAACACCAGTCCTTAGAACTGCTTTGGATGCTTTATTTTTTTAAAGAACCGAACATTTATGAGAGAACTATAAAAAAGTATGTATGGACAATCACTGCATTGGCTGTCAACTGTATGAGCTATACTTGTATACTGTACTCAAGTAACTGTGAGACTGGCATGGCAGGATATCAAAAAATGTAAGACAGACAGTAAAATCAATGTCTTGTGCGGCAAATCATGAATGAGCATTTTAATTCAAAGAGACGGATAACTAGACATTTACCATTTTGGCATACTGTGCATTCACGGGATCAGAATATTGAAGCAAGGCTTGAAACTGATTGTTCTTTGTGAAAGTGATAATCTTCAAAACAGTCCCGAACTTGGAGAAGATCTGCATAAAAATTCAACCAGTCAATTCACATTTCCATACTTTTCAGGAAATAGCTGGAGCTCTAAACTATACTTGATTATCCAAATAATCAATGCCACACTTAGGGGTATGGAGACCTCAGCAATTACACCTGGTCTATACTACCTTAATCTCTCAACAGAATGACAACACAGCTATACTTCAGTGCTAGTTCAGACCTCATGTAATTAAATTGCCAAGATATATCTCTATTTATACTCCGAGGAAAAAAGTAGAACATGTTCTATCAGATCATGAAGTTTTTCCTATAGGAAATCAAAATACTTTTCATTTATTTATTTCTAAAAGTTATTAAAATGCAATAGTACATAATCATTCATGTGTACAAGAAAGCAAGAGAACAGTATATAGGACAGAAAAAGTTTTAAATGCATACTTAAATAGCCCAAATGTTAATTCTGATTTAAATACAGGGTTTGACAATAAAAAAATAACCTAAAATTTATGCTCAGGCTCCTTACCTGATATAGCACTTCTAGAGTCACAGGGTAGAAGAGATTTTCAACTATAATTCGAAGAACGGAACTCTGGCCAGGGGGCAGTCCACCGTCAGTAGTTGGAACACCTGCTAGTGCCAGACCTCCAGACTGCACGGCATTCACTGCTTGTAATGCAGCTTGCGCTCTCTACAGGAATGGGTAGAAGGTGGAAGAAAAACAGACTTGCGTATTGTTCCACATTTACAGGCATCCTTAAAGGCATCCTAACAGTTAGCATGAAAATTACACCAAGTTATTTTATATTTGTCATATGCAGACTTAAGTGTCCTTCATTGCAGGGTATAATCAAAACAATTTTTTTTAGTTTTAAAAAAGGCAAGCTTCTGGAGTCGTAAAAAAAAACACTAAATCATTTTGTTCCTTTTAAGCTTCAAACACTCCATGTCCTTTTAACAGACTGTAGCTAAATAGTTCATGCTCCTTCAGGTATTTTGGCAACTGCATTGTAGCCCCAAAGCAAGCACATAACAGAAACCGGAGAAACATGAATATGGATGATCTAGCAGGTAGGGTTAAAGCGTTAACACAACAATATAGAGCTTAACAGACAAACTGAGCTGCCAATAATTTTCTCTGAGCTTCCAACAATTCTCTCTCATCTCTCAAATTCAAATGGAATTATGATTTGCTTAATTTACCTAACATGCCAGAAAAAGGTTTGAGCCATATTTGCTATACTGGGCTTTGTAGCTGGTAGGTAAAGGTTAAAGGTGAATTGACCTTCAATGCCTCATGCACCAATGGTACTTTAGGATTAAAATGTAAGCAATTTTGTTGGAGAGTCTTCTATTTTTACAGTGCCAGAATAGATATTAGGGCATCAGATGCTCCAAGGCATTACTGTAAAGATGTTACACTTCATTTAATAAATTAATGCACTATTTGTTTGAATGTACGTCTAATGTATATGTTATGTTATCAAAGGAGATCTTATGAAAACACTTTGGTCCAGGAATAGCCATATCATTTCACTACAAGAGAATATGCCAACAGGATAATCAGTCCCGCCTTAAACACGCTGTCTGTACTTTGAGACATAAACCCCTTGCAGGGCTAAAATATAAGCATTCACAATCTATGGTTCAAGGGGGAACACAAGTTTTCAGAATACCTAAATATGGCTAATGCATCAACACAGCACCTGTGTAATGTAACATGCTATCTTCTCTAATACATTCAATCTTCAAAATATCCGCAAGAAATTGTCCTTCTATCTATACTTTGTATGTCAGACTTCTACAAGTAAATTAGTGTAGAGACTTCATGTCTAGCAGTATTGCTGCTAATTAGCTGCAGCCTTTACCAATTTCAAAGGGGGGAAAAGTCAGAAGCCATATCAAAAGTCTTTCTTACTAGGTTGGAGTTACATTTTGGGAACAAAGCCTAAATTTGGCTGAAAATCCTACCAGCCTGATATGCAGTCTACTTATTCTTCCCAAGTTGTTCATTCAATTCCTGACTTTTTCAGGGAGGGAGGAACCAGCCCCACCTCCAGGTGGAACTGTGCTCTGCATAATCTGATTTGCTAAAGGGGCACCAGGGGCATCTGCTTTGCAATGAAGCAAGTTGATTACTTTGACTGTGAAAGTAAACAATTCACATAGCAATTGAATTCTAAAGGTAGTAAATGCAAGCCTTCAGCCTCATTTGTCTAGGAGGAGGAAAGGTACAATTTAGGTATATTTTGCAGAAACTGGATACTAAAACAAATATTGGGATCACAACAAGTAGCCTCTCTTACAATCTGAATAGTATACAAACACTCAGAACAGAGGCAGAGTAGCCTTTCTTCATGAAATGGGATAAAAGCACGCTCATTTCTTTTGGAAGTAGCCAGTCCAAGACTTCCATGTGAAAAGCTAACACTCAACCTGGATAATGAATAGCTGATCTGAAACAGCAAGAAAAGTGAAGGTGATACCTGTAGATTTTACAATTGCACAAGGTATAATATGATGAGAATGGAAGAAGGAGATCACTGTGATCTCATTTGTTGACCACCACCAGCTAGACTGTTGCACAAATCCTGGCAACTCCAACTTAATATGCAAAGGCCACAGTGTGACTGAAGCTCAACTGCTCAGTCTAAAATTCAAAAGATCGGTCTCACTTATACTACATACTTGCAGATTTTTCAAAACAGTAAGTTTAAGTGGCTCAGCAATCTTTCACATATTACCTTATTAATGCATGCCATGTATTTTCTTGAAAGCTGCATACTTACAGCCTGATTGGGCAGATTGTCCGTCTTAAGTTCTCTGTGATTGGAATACTGGATATAAACAGGCTGACTGCGGAGGTGAGGAGTAACAGGAGTGTAGTAGTTCACCATGGTGACAGCAGCTTCTTCTGAAGCCATTTCTAGGAAAGCCTACAATTAAAAAAACAAGCAGATGCCAACCTTGCTGGTAGCTTGCAATGCACTTCATCAAACCATTTATAACAGAAAACATACAAACTGTATTTTTATCTCAGCTAAAAATAAGCTAATTGTTATTTTTTATTATGTAAGCATATGCTCGCTAACCCATGGAATTTTTGGCCATATAATCATTCTGCTAAGCCAAGTGCACTAATAAGCATCAGATACTGAGAGCATGCCCTATCCTGAAGAAACCATTAATAATTTTTTTAACTATGCAATTTTATGAGAAAAAATAAAACACACTGTGGGGAGGGAGAACACAAAGAGGAAGTGATATTTATAGCATTACCAAAATGAGTATCATGGTGTCAAGGAGGGGGGAAGCAAGGGAGGAAGGTATGGATTCAGGTGCTCTGTACATTGCCCGTAAGTAATGTTTTGGGTGGAGCAATGTCTGCTGTTTATGTTGGCAACATGAATAAAAGCATGAGCTTTTTCAACATCTTTTGTTCCAGTGCCTTTTACATTTCCCCTTGGAACAGGTTAGAACCATAGCAAAATCACTAACAGGGAAGGCATGTTCTGAGATGGTACAAAGAGCTGACTGGAACCAATGATTGTTAGCTGCTCTAGGACAGAGAGAGGGGAGTGCTACTGAGCAGGCTAAGATGCCAACATTTGATTATAGAGACAAACCACAGATAACTGAACCATATTTTAGAAACCCAGTTTATCAGCCTCTAACAAACTACAGTTTATCCTGAAATGTGAACATGGCCATAGAATCAAGCTGTCATGAAATACGACAGGACAGTAGTCTTCAACCTTTTCGAATATGGGGCCCAGTGAGCTGCAAGCACTTGGCAGGAAAACATCTGCCCTGTATGTCACATGACAGGAAGGGAAGCTAGAGTTAAGTCCTCCATGGTCAGCAGACCAAAAAAGATGGAACAGGAAACACAAGTCAAACACCAGAAGACATACCACAGTGAGGAACAACAACTGTAAAAAAAAAATAATAACCCTTCATGCTGTTCCTTTTTCGGGAGGTATTTAGGGCTGCAGCTAGAGGGGCAGGCAAGAAGTCTCTTCCTCCAGCAGACATTCTTCTATCAAATCCAAACCCAAGTCAAGAGCTATGGAAGAATTTTTTCCACTACTGAGTGACACCACCTCACTGTCACACTGTTCTTCTCAGCATGCCTACAGCATGAGGAAGAAGGGCATGCCACCCTTGCTCTCTACTTTCACGACACCAGTTTACAATGCTCCCTTTCTTCATTCACACAGAGCAGCTGAAGCCTTGAGAAACCAGGAAGCCTTCCATTTGCCACAAGGTTTGAATGCAGGCACCTAAGCAAACTGGAGTCTGACTCGAGGTTTCTGATACCACAAAGGCTACAACTGCACTCCACATGCAAGAGAGGGAGGAAGGGGCAAGCTGAATTCATGCCAGCAAAACAGTGATTTTTTGTGACAAGTGAAAGCAGCCACTAGAAGATGTTTAGAATAGATCTTCAAGCCATAAAGTTTCACGATAGCTTATGAACTTTAAAGGTTGACTTTTAAAATAAAGTAGTATGGCCTTGATCCAACCACAGTTACCTCAGCAGGCCCCTCAGTAAAAAAAACAAGCAGGGGCTGCAGTGGGTAGGGAAAATTGGTGGAAGATCCCACCACTTGTTAAGAAAACTCTTCAGAAGAAGAGTCTTTTGGGGGAAATGTGAGCCCATACTTTCTCTGGTGTGCAGTTTTTAAACAAACTAACATTCTACATAAAGGGATATAGGTGCCATCACTGTCGAATAGCACAGAAGTGTACATACCTGGCTTTTTCCCTTCAACATCAAGAGATTGGTTACTTTGCCAAAAGGTAGACCTAGAGAAATGACTTCTGCTTCAGTGACATCATTTGGAATTTTACGAAGATGAAGGACTCGAGAAGGGGAACATGGAGATCGGTCTCCTTTAAATTTCTTGCTATCATTCCCGTTAGCTAAAATATAAAGAGATAAAATAGTTTGGCATAAAAATATAGTTTTGCACAAGTAAAATGTATCTTCTTTGTAAAATGTAAGGCTGAAGCATTTGCAGCAAGCAACAGTAAATTGATTTGTATTCCCTTCATTAGATTTCCCTTTAGTCTAGTGTTCTAAAAAGGGTAAATTCAGGGATACTGGAAGCCTCCCCATTCTTGCCTGGTTGCCTGTTTTGGTGGCTGCTACCACCATCTGTTGCCCAACTTGGTTTTGCTTCCTCCAGCTTTCACTTCTACCTTTGGCTCCCCCCTCCCCTCCCATAAAGCTTTTCTTTAAAAATTACGGTTTTTCTGTAAACACTGGTGGGCAATGCTGTTCAGACTTACCTATCAGCATGGCAGCCAACCATAATCTTAATTAGTGAGGCCAATTTCTTTCACAGAAACTTATGTTTTACTTTTAGCATGCAAACAGCTGTATCAAATTATAGCTACTAAATCAACAGCAGCCAGATGAGCTATGGTGGTTGGGGTTTTCTGAAGACAAGCGGGGGGCACTAACTGCTTGGGCCCACAGTGACATCAGATTAGATCAGGCAACAGCATCATAAATAAGGAAGCAAGAATGAGAAGATTAGAGGGAGGTTCAATAGTGCTGTTGCTAAGATTATTATGAACAGGCTCTCTGCTATATACACTGACAGCAATTTGGCTGACTGTGCAGGACACCAAGGACAGTCAGGCAAGGCATATGTATCATGACAGACCCTCCAGCCTTGACACGCTAGTACAGGAACAGTGAACTGATCGCAACCCAGAGTTAACTACAGTAGTGCCAGCACAGTAAGCACAGACTGGCTTGCCATAAAGTGCCTCACTACATCAGGCTGCAAAGGGTGAACTGATAGCAGGCCATCCAATCTCATCTTGAGAAGTAGTCTTCTTTACTGCCAGCACACCCAGGACAGAAGTTGCAAGGCAAACCTGAAGGCCAATAATGGCAACAGCCACTGAGGTTGATGGCAGAGGTGCCACCTGGAGGAGAGAAGCAGGAAGAGGGAAGACATTTTCCTCTTCTCTTCCTTTCTACCCAATGCAAAATCTTGCACATCCCCACTTGTTTTACATAAATTGGTCAGATCCCCTGAAGTCTCCTTCATACAGTTGCTTATCTTACAGTCAGATGCTCAGGTTCTAGCATTTTTTTCTCCCTAATGCCGAGGACAATGACACAATGCTCAAGGGTTGGAAAAGCCAATGTTTATGTTTTAATGCTGCTTCTTATTTACAATTTTGAGTTTTGAGATTTAGTTAACTGGGAAGCTTACATTATGATATCACTGTCCCAATTTCCACACAAGTTTTTGGAACACATTTTTAAATGGCCACTGTATACCAAGTCAGCAATTTCAAGGAGCTGACTGCAAGACTGAATATCATTCAGAACTGAATACTGGTTAAATATGAAGCCAGTCACCCTTCCACGATCTCTTCTATGTGTAGCTAGCTTTAATAACTGGGTAGCATGTATACATACATGGTGACATACTTTTTCTCAGTCAGCCAATGTAAGGTTCAATGTAACATAAAACGGTCTATCAGTTACGTTAGGAATGGCCAACAGGCTCATACAGTTCTTTCCCCACTCCCAAACTATGGTTTGACACCAATTATTGCCACCAAAAATATTGGTGCAGTTAACTCTAACTGTAGTTAGCTCACACTGAAATGGGGGACACCTGCAAGGGAAATATAGAAGATGCAAGCCTGAAGGGTGCTCCCAGGAGATGGGCAGCATTACATCAGCAGCAAACTAAAGTACTAGGCAAGTAGATAGATTAGCTTTTGTGGGAACACCTCCATTTTGGCCCTATTGAGCCATACTCTAGAACCATGGGTGGCTAGACTTGCTTAACGTAACAGCCAGACAAAATAAATGTCAGATGTTTGAGAGCCGCAAGACATAAACAAATATTACACACACATTTTAATTGAAAAATATGCGAATTTGCTTTTTATTAACATTAAATTAGACTGTGTGAAAGAGCCGCATGTGGCTATAGTTTGGCCACCCCTGCTGTATGTTATATTGCAGTCAGGTATAACAGTCTTTCTTCTTTCTACTTAACTATATAAAACCCATATTCCCACAGCCACCAGATCAAAAATAAAAAATAAAAAAACAAGTCCTTTTAAAAAAGGGTTCAGTCAACCAGCAGTCTTCAAAACTAGAACAGACCAATTATTATTTCCCTCCAGAAAGAGAGTTATGTCCTCATGGTATAAATCAGGTGGTTGGGTTTGGAAAATGTTTTGGTAAGCAGATGAAGGAAACATTCACACAATACACGTTTATCAGCCAAAGGGATGCTGACAGGGCCTCCCCTTCTAATAGGTGCCAATAATCATGTCCAGTCCATGTCCACACCCAGTCCTTAACTGAGTGAGGCCAACTGCCTGTAATTCCAAAGTATTAGAGATGGTTCCAATACAGGGCAATGAAAACGGAATATCTGGCTACATTACTGGTGAGAAACCCATCTACTCTTCAGTTCCTATTTTTACTACTTAAAATTCCTTAAAATCCTTAACACTCCACTACTGCTGTCAGTCCAGCTCCATGGGAAGTAGGATGACTAGACCAGGACAATGGCAGTAGCCCCTGGACCTGTCACTGTTTACATCAACATACTGCAGAACAGTCTTGCAAATAAGTCTTTAAAAATAAGTCTTGCCACAAGAGACCAGGTAAGTAGCTATTTGCAAGCCTGCTGCAAAATGTATTGTTTATCATACCTGTAGCAGGAGTAGAACTGCTCATGGTAAAAGGCCCGTAAGTGATACCAGAAGGAAGAAGCTCATCAGATCCACGCTGAAAAAATAAGCCATAAAATAGCCAAATGTTAAAACTGCCATGGCTCACTTTGATATTATCTATGAAACGTATTTTGACATTTTTTGTTGGCAAGTTCTAAAACGGGAAAAATTTAATCAAAGCACAAAGACAATTTTAAAGGCACTTTTATCATGGCTTGAACCACGAGTACATTATTCCATTTCAAGACACTGTACAAAAAAACCCATTCTACCAGCGTCTGAAAACAAACACTAGAGCAGTTTCAGAGGGTAGCCAGGTTGGTCTGCCGTAGAACAGCTAGATTCAAGTCCAGCAGCACTGCAGAGACCAATAAGATTTTGGGGGTATGAGCTTTAAAGAGTCAAAGCTCCCTTTGCCAGATGGACGCTCCTTATCTGACAAAGAGAGCTTTGAGTCTCTTGTTGGTCTCTAGGGTACTACTGAACTAAAATCTAACTTCAGGAACTATATTTAAAACTGAGGGGTTCTACTAAAAATCATTGCATTACCAGTTGATGGTTATACTGAAATTAATTTGTATTTCCTTTACAGTCCCCAGTCAAGCCAGCTTACCCCTATATGCATTTTTAAAAAGAGAACAGAGATCATTTCCAAATAATATTGCCACTCTCCCCAGTGGGAAAATGTTTTAACCTTCCTGGACATTCAGCCACTGACCTAAAAGTAGCAGTTCTCTTTCAAAGGGATTTTAATGAGAGATTAGAGAGATTGCTGAATTGCAACTGATAATGAAGCTCAAGACACTGCATCCTCTTGGACTGAATCGAGACCTAGGTTTCCTGTCTCATTACGAATGCTGATTTCCCCACACCTACTTCCCCTCTGCATATGACACCTAATCCACTCACACCTGCTATTGTCATTCACCTGTTATTGTCCTTCATCATCTTTCCAATTATGGACTGGCATTCTAGCTGTATCTGAAGAAGTGAGCAGTGACTCACAAAAGCTCATACCCTGCCACAAGTTTTGTTAGTCTTTAAAGTGCTACTGGACTCTTGCTCTTTTCTATACTCTCTCTCTAGTCAGTGTAGACATGCAGCTCACCACTTTGCTCACAGAACACTTCCCTCATGGTCTCCACTTATTGACTGAAGGTTCATATATTTGTATAACAGAAAAGAATGAAGCCCAGCAGGATGAATACCCACTGTTACAAGTGGGGCTGAACTATGAACCACAGCCAGCTCTTTGAGAGAAAAAGCAGCTCAAGAGTTTACATACTGCGTAACTCCCATGACATTTAGCTGCCTTCTTTCCTCCAAGACAGGTCATTTTCCTCTACTCATGCAGCTGTATTACCTCATGCACTATTCCCCCCCCCAAGCTTTGATTATGAAGCTGAATAATAAGTGCAAGTAGGGCTCTCATACTGTCTCCCTCCCCTTCCTGTTAAAGATAATCAGCCTGTAGCAAGGAGTGGGATTAAATGAACTGAGGTTAGCATTGCTTGCCTACCCTGCCCTGTCTTAAAACGTCACCACTTTCACTGCTGCCTTGAGGAACACAAGCAAAACAACAGTGCAGAGTTCCCATAACTTTGGTTCTTTGATTTTCTATTAACAGGCCAGCTACTTCTACAGAAGCATACAAGCAAGATCAAGCTGTCTTCATTGTTGTCAGCCAAAGGGCCAATGACAAAGTTTAACTTTGTTAATTTGGATTAGCGTTACTGAATTTCTGATTCACTTCTGCACCTAGCTAAGAAGGAGAACCAGTCTGGTGTAGCGGTTAAGAGCAGCAATACTCTAACCCAGAGAACCAGGTTTGATTCCTTATTCCTCCACATGAAGCGAGCTGGGTGACCTTGGGCCAGTCACAGCTCTCAGAGCTCTCTCAGCCCACCAACAAGCTTAGCTTGCCACACTAGTGGTGCAGACCACTAAAGAGTTAGAACTTCACTTCGGCTGCCAGACAATCCTTGGATCTCCTGGCTTTGGTGTAGTGGCCAGTTTGGTATAGTGTAGTGGTGTAGTCGTTAAGTGCGTGGACTCTAATCTGGGAGAGCTGGGTTTGATTCCCCACTTCTCCACTTGCACCTGCTGGATGACCTTGGGCAAGCCATAGTTCCGGCACAGCTGTTCTTGAAAAAGAGCAGTTTTCTCTCTCAGCCCCACCTACCTCATAGGGTGTCTGTTGTGGGGAGGGGAAGGGAAAGGAGTTTATAAGCTGCTCTGAGACTCCCTTGGGTAGTGAAGGGCAGGGTATAAATCCAATCTCTTCCTCTCTTCTCTTCTCCTATAGAACACACGCTGCTATACAATAAGAGTACTTCTAACATTTTTCCTCAGCCCCAAAGGAGCATCATGATAAGGGGACTCTAGTTCTCTTCCCCTACCTGCTTAGGGATGAAAGGCTCAGAAAATCAAATTTGTTGCATTAGAGGCTAGAATTTTAACACCTAAATAATGCAAGGTTGATTAGCTATGGTACAATAGGAATCATCTTAACATTTATATAAAGTAGCAAACCTGTATGGACAACACATGCATGTCTTGTACCTTGCTTGGAAGGCAGGTGAATTTTGCCAGCCCTGCGCTACTGCAACCTTACCAGACTACCCTACCATAAGGATGCATGTAGAAATTGCTTCTATTCTCTCAACTGCTAGGCCCGAGAGTTTCAAAATGTGAGCAGTGCAAACAACCTGTAATAGTAGCACGTACATACAGGGGAAGGAGAGGTTTAAAGCAAACAGAAAGCAATTTTTAAACTTTCTCTCCTTCAGCTCTCTAATTTGTGTACCATAGTACTAGTTAAGTAATTTAATTTTTTAAAGTTTAAAAAAATTAGGACTACTATTTTTAACAGCACTTTTAATGCAGCACCAAGACAGACCAAAATACAGAAAAGGTCTTTGAGTGTGTGTGCATTGGGGGGGGGGAGGCCCCCCCCCACCTGGCAAATGGAAGTTCTGTATAGATTAAGGGGTTGGAGCATTTCTGGAGACATGTTGGACTGGAACTTACCAAACCATAAATATATTTTAAATTCTCAGCCACCTGCTTCCATTATTAAATAATGAAATCCAATGGAATTGCATTATTAAACAATGGAAGCCAATCCAAACGTTCTGATTCCTAATCAGGGTCTTTTTGAAAGAAAATGAAATCCCAGATAGGCACAGATAAATCTAATCTAAAAAACCCCTTCACAATAAACCAGAATAATTTCCTTTTAATTTTCCTTTCCCCTTATCCCAGCCTGCCACTTTAACCTTTTAAACACATACACTTGTGCATGTGTATGGTGTGTGAGAAGTATCAAGTCTCAAAGAAAATAGCAGAGCACAGTGTTCTCAATGTAAATTGTAAGAATCCATCTATCCACCTACTCTCCCTTTCTCTGAAGTAGTATATGAAAGCTTATACCGGAAATAAAATGTTGCTGGTCTTAAAGAAGCCACGGGACTCATACTTTGCTCTCTCTCCTGGCAGGGCTCTCTCTTACTCTTTGCCTCCCCCCCCCCTTCTCCCAAAGGAGGAGCCCTCAGCCAATGGAGGGAAGGAAGACTTGGCTTGGAAGGAAGCAGCAGAGGAAGCTGGGCAAAAGCAAGCTGTGATGAAGCAGCAGTCCCGGACAAGGAAGCAGGAGGGAATCAGTTGCTCACAGGCTGGATATGAGACCTGCAGGGGCCAGATCCAGCCCACAGGCTGTATGTTTGACACCCCTGTACTGGAGTATGTTGCAGAAACATGCTATTTCAAAGAAATGTTTAGCAATAACATAGGCTTTCTACATGTTACACTGACGTTGCCAAATCAGCTTTTACATGGCCTTGGATCCAAAGACTCCAGCATGTGCAGAAGATGCTTCTGCTGAAGGGTGTATGTATTAGGAAGAAAGGTAATTTCACTTCATCTGCACACCCCAGCCCAGTTCAAAACCTGGCTCCCAGGGGCCTGAGAATTCTTTTTGGTCAGAATGCCAAAAACAAAACAAACCAAGGGGGCAGGTTCAATGCTCCCTCTTGTGATCAAAAATTCTACTTTGTGAGCTACTGGCATTAAAGTTGTGAGCCAGCGATTTGGCTACTGCATAAATTAGTTTGCTCTGGAGCCATGCTTCCTGAGCTAAGGCAAAAATATGTAAGCGAGAGGCTAAAAACCTGTGAGTTAGCTCACACTAACTCAGCTTAGAGGGAACACTGGGCAGTTTCTACTCGGCCAGACACACTTGAAACAAGACAAGCTCCAGAATTACTGCCACTGTGCCAGGGGCTCATGTTGAACTCAGATGGCCACTGTGTGGTTCACAGGCAGTGAAAAGAATAAGCCATACCTGTAGTTCTCTCCAGTGCTACTAGTCCCAGTGACACGCCAGCTCTTCAGTGGCTCGCCTTGGCTGCTTGGATGGAGAAGCAGCTTTGCATGCCAAGACAAATTATCCAGCACACTGGCATGTATGCCAGACATTGCTTATGCCTGCCATGGAGTAGCTTTTGTAAGAGGCATAGGGGGGAATGGTCAACAGAAAGGACAGAATAAGCAACACACTTTCTGAGCAACTGGAAGAGTCTTCCACATACAGGGAATAATCTTTTGATCTAAGCCCTGGCCTTGCTTAGCACTGGCAGCCTATCCTGTTAACTTGTAACTAATGGAAACACATTAGAAACTAATTTCAACAATCTGGATGATTGGATGTGCAAGGTTGAACAATGGAAACAAAATAGCCGTTTAACTGAATTGAAGGCCAGTTTGGCAAACACATAAGACAGAAGGAAACACTTTAAACATGACCTTTAATAAGCCTGCTTTTTGAAAAGCAAACAAAAAAAAACATGTCTTCCTACTGTAGCGACAACTTCTGTTGTGATGTAGGGTTCTCAACCACATTGAGTTTGTGGACACTTTTGGAATTTTGAGGGTAGTAAATGTCAGCACAAAACTCCTGCATTGGAGCAGGGTCAATCAGAGCATTTGGGGAAGTTCCACATACAAAACACAGCTGAGATATGATGCTTGAGCAAACATATGCCCATTACGAAGAAA